TATGAATACAACACCAAAGAAAAATGAACGTGTGATTAATGAGTCATAAATTTAGGATAGTGTTTACTTCTAGGGAAGGAGTAAGGGAACTAAAATGGGGAGGGTATACAGGCTTCAAGTATAACATATTTCTCTTTTGAAAAAATTTAAAGCTAATTCACAAAAGATTAACATTTGGTTAAACTGGGTGGTAAAAGTATAAGGTGTCAAATTATTATCAAATACCTGTATTCTTGAAATATTTCATCAATAAATTTTACATAAATTTCTCAGGAATGTATCTAAGGTACCAAATGAAAGCTGCAGCTTATTAAATGCTTACCATGTGATAGGCTGTAGTACACATAATTACAAGTAAATGGAACAAATAGATCATGTCCATTTTACAAATGAGGAAACAGACCTTAGCCAAATTCTGTTCATTCCATGGTCACTTAATTAATAAACAGGAAAGCAGAATTTGAACCTAGGTCTTTCTGAACCTCAAAGTCTTCTCACAAGTTGTTCCTGATGATTAGAAGGCTCGACAACAGTAACTCACAGAGGGAGAAAAACATTATTTAGTGACAGATGAGTAACCAGATCTTCAGTTGGCTCTCTATCCTCACCCAAGTTTTTGTTCAAAAAGCATCTCTTAGAAAAGCCTTGCACTCACTATAGGTAACTTTTAAGGATATTTTTCTTCAAAGCACTTTAAGAGTACCTAAAATTATATCCTTATAAGTCTGCTTGCTAATGGTGTATTTCCCCATCCAGAATATTCAGTTCTCAAGAACTGAAGCTTGACTGTATTTGCTTTTACACTGTCAATGCCTGGCATACAGCAGTATCAAGAGACACTGGTTAAATGACTACTGCGGATTCCCATTCTCGTTTGCTGTTATACTGCCATACAAAAATACTAAGGGAGACTTCTGCTTATTGATACTAAAGAAACATAAACATACTAGCTAGTTTGTTATTTTTAAAAAGTCAACAAAGTAAATAGTCTCAAGTACTTATACAGTAATAAAATTTCCAAACTTACCTCTACAGGAGGATAATAGTTATAATTCCAGTACCAAAAGGTTCTGGGTAGATAACCTTTGATTAAATGGTGTTCTGGTACAAAGGGATGAAAAGTTTCCTTTCCTGTGGTGTCTCTGGAATCTCCAGCTTCTACATTCATAACTTCCATGCATTTTCCCAGAGCTAGGTCTTCAATGGAAGAACTATGTGTGCACTTTTCTGTTTTAAATGCATCAATAAATCTCTTCAAGGCTTCTTTGCTTAGTACATATCCTGCTCCGCCACTCATGTAACCCTGCTTCACATAGGGCTTAAATCTTCTCCCAAAATAAATGGGTTCTTCAGGACTATATTTTGAAAGAAGCCATCTCAAATTGTCTAGTATGACATATGTATCATCGTCTGCTTTCAAAAACCAATCCGCATCTTCTAAATAATGGTCATGAACATACTGAAAAGCTTTAATTGTTTTCCAGTATAGTTGATCTCTACCCTCTTTGGTTTTTAATCCCACAGCAGGGAAGTCTTTGTTTTCTTCTGAACTCATAAATAACACTTTATTACAACGCTGGGCCCATGTAGCTTTGACATGTTTGGCCTTTTTCTCTAGATTTTGAGGGCCCGTCATAACCCAACAAAGAATTTTAACTTTCTGGTACAGGTTTTCAGCGATGTCTGTATTCTCATCTAAAATTCAAATATAAATTAAAGAATAAGAAAGGAAGACTTTTCTCTATTTAGCCATCTATTATTACTGATTTAGACGAAATAAAGCAAAAGTCAACCTAAAGGTAACGAATTCTGAATTACTGATTTCATGTCAGTTTTACCCAGATCATTAAAGCTGTCTCTAGGACTCACATTCTTACCACTCAGATGTTGTTCATGGGGCAGGACCACCGGAGACTGTCAGATATGCAGGATCTCAGGCCCTGCCTTAGAGCTGCCAAATCAGAATCTGAATTTTAAAAGTTCTGGTGATTCATACACATGTTAAATATTGCTTTAAATAATCTCTTCTTGGCACTGCATACTATAA